TATGTAGTGCTGCCTGGCAATAGTTGTCAGTAGAGGGTTTGTCCTCTGCCCTGCCTTATCTTTCAACACTGACTTTAGAGTTTGTGATTATTATGTCTCACATACTACTGACAGATGCCAGATTTTGAATGTTTCTACTCATATTTGTCTTGAAGCATTTCTGGGAGCCAGGACCATCTGCTGCACCGACTACAAGACTGCAAATGTAACTCTAGGAATTGTAGGGACATCCTCTCCAGTGTATAAGGGACCCTGAATGCCTGATCAAGCCTGACATATTAGCTTCCCCTCAGGCATATTTGGGTGCAGACTAAACACAGACCTCTGAGACAAAAATGGAGATGAGGTAGATGAAGCACACGGCAATTAGACTTGTTCTGTAGGCTCATCAGGGCTTTTTGAGATAGAAAGCCTCTGCTCCATAGAATTTGTGATGAAGGTAGACATGAAGAACCAAAGCAAGCATTGCTGACTGTTTTAGAGATGGGAGAGTTCGGCACAACAAGCCTGTTTCTCTTTCAGTTGGTGGGATCAGTCTGATGGGCCAAGTCTTAGCTTTTGGGGAAAAAATTACTTGTAGTGATTTGCTCAACATTATGTAGAGCATTTAAACTGGGGTAGATCACACAGCGTGTCAGCCTCGTGACTTTCCTTCCACACAAAGAGTTGGCAGCAGTCAGTGGTCCCAGTACAGTCAGCATTTTCTCCATACTCCTGAAGCCCTTGTGCTTTAGTAGTATCTGTCCTTCCTATAAATGTTTCTTGCTACACTTTATCCACGGCTTCATTTCAGGGGCAGAGTAAGTTGTTTCTAAATATAGATGGCGAAGCACTTTGAAATCTTTTGAAGTCAAAAAAGCAATGCATTTTTTCTCCATTTGTATTTCCAATACTTAGAAAAGAAATATATAGTGCACACTTAGCATCTATATAATTAATATTACCATGCATGAGTAGGGTAACGATTTTTCAGAGTGAAAGACTGTCTCTCTTGGTGCTAGATGTGGCAGGACTACACTCTGTGTCCACAGTGCTGCTCTGACTGAGCTCAGGCAGACTCAGAAGTTTGGTTCCCACATATATGCTTCTCTTTGCTCTCTTTCCTCCTGCATGTGTTCATTTCACTTGTTATATGCAAAAGGACATCTTAAAAAACAGATATGACGTGCTTTGAAAACAACTGCTTTACAATCCATTTAAGCTTCTATAGCAGATTATGTAAGAGAGCACTCTGATTTTATTTATTTTTTAATTTTTCATTGTTGTCTTTTTTGGAAAGTCATCTTATTGGGTTTGTTTTTTTTTTCACAGAGAAATAGGCTGTGCCTATGGATAGGTTACACACAACTACTTTTGATTTATAGAGCTCTCATAAGGTCTTTTATCGTCCTGTGGCCCTTCTGAGACATTTTTGGCAGGTGTGGGCTATTGTGTTTTTACAGAAATGTAAAAACTGGAAACTAATGGTGATCACTTTCATGTGAGCTGATTGTTTCACAGATGACTATTTAAGCAGAGAAATCTGGCTTATTTCTAAAGCTCACTCAGTTCAAATAGAAGAATGATGTGGAGAAACGTTGAAATTTTCAGCATTTTTGAAATTTTTATTTAAAAGTTGAGGTTTTATCTTTTGAGAGTTTGTGAGAGGGAAGAATAAGAAATAGGCCAAAGGGATTGGAAGTCTGATGAACACTGAGGATACAGGAGAGCGATTTCTTGAAAGAATTTTCTGACAGCTTTGGTGGAGCAAATGGAAGTTAAAAATAAACAATGTGAAACAATTTCTTTTTCATTAAAAAAGTGTGAAAGGCCAACACAGGAGGTGAAAGCCATGCTTTGATTAGTTAGAAAAGCCCTTGGATTCTCAAGGAGCTTAGTGCAATTTGTGCCAGGAGACTTTTGCCTTGTTAAGTTGGAGCTGTGATGAGAAATACTGAGCAAGTTCCCACAGATCTGTTGCTCCTGTTTGGGAAGTTCTGTGGCTTTGTGCTCCTCATACATTGAAAGCACAAATAATATCTTATGGCCCTGGTGTTTCTCTGGGGTAAGCCCTTATGAAAATTGATGTTGACGTGAACTACAGCTGTATGCCTTTTGTGAAATAAAAAGCAAGAATAGTTGACAATTCAACACAGCTGTCTCCATTGCTGAGCACCTAGAGCCTTCTTATTTATATTAATCTGTTTGAAAAAACATGAATATTCCTTTTTATCTTACCATATAATAAGCAGCCTGTGTTATTTGTACCTCAAAACTATCTGAATCTCAAAATGTCCTGCCATGGCAGCTTAAAATGCTTATGTGGGTCACCATGTTCCTTTTTTCTTGCTTATTTCTGTTTTCTTTTTCCTTGGAGACATGTAGTTTCTAGCTGTGCAACTTTGCCAGCTTTAGTGGAGGTAGTCTTAACCTACCCGTGATGTGGGGATAAGCTGACTGAGAGCATTACTGCCTGTCCATGTCTGCTTAATTTGTACTACTCTGCTGGGCTCAGCTTTCTTTTCTCTAGGTGATCTGGAATGGGCAACTCCCTTTCCACTTTGAATTTGGCCTCATAATTCCATTTTGGCTCTCTTTCCACTGTGGACCTTCATTCATATGCTTCTCATTACCATCTGCACAGTTCATTTATGAAATTAAATTAAAGTAGTAAACAAAATACCAGATACTCCTCCTAACGCTCCATCTATAAATATCTTCTCTGCCTACTCATGTTGTCTGATTAAAGGGTAGTAAGCAGTTATTTAGAGAACCTAAGACAGGCCAGATTCCATCAAAGGAGGTTGTTCTTTTAAAATCAGAATATTGCATTTAGCTGCCTGTTTCAAGCTCGTCTATCTAAAAATGTGTATCGTTAAAGCTGAAGCTCCCTCTTTTGACATTTTCACACACAATCGCAGAATGGCCCGCGTTGGAAGGGACCTCAAGGATCATGAATCTCCAACCCCTCCCGCCAAAGGCAGGGCCGCCAACCTCCCCATCTAATACTAGAAGCTTTCAGAAAGGAAAAAAAATAAGTATGTAACCCTGTTCATAGCAAGGGCTTGGAGCTAGATGATCTTTGAAGTCCCTTCTGACCCAAGCTGTTCTATGGTTCAATGGTTTTCTGCAATAAAAATTCTGAAATACTGTTTTTCATCCTGAACATACTAACATAACTTACCCGATGTGGATTTTGAAGTATTTCTCCCTTATGTAAGATGTAAGATCTTGAACTTTTAGTGCTCTCAGACTACCTGAGGTTCTCGGTGTCAGTTGCTTCATATGATGATGATCTTTTGTTGGTTTTGTTATTAAAGTGATGCAGTTACCTAAGTACAAAGTAAACACGAAAAAAGGTCATACCTTTGCAGCAGTGGCTAGCAGTATTCTGAGAAAAATTCAGTTATTAATACACATGTATCCCTCTTGCAGAATTCTAGGAATTAAGGGTAGATAAAGGGTAAACAAAAGCCTGCGCACAGCATTCATCAATGTTTGCTTCATTTTAGAGGGAAATACTATAGCAAATCTGAGAATGTTTGTATTGAGCAGGTGAAAAGCATGCGTTTCTGACCATGAATTTTATTTTTAAATTGTTTATTGCATGGCAAGTACACCAAACTTAGGAAGTTAAGTTTGAACTGATGTTATCAAACAGTTGTATTGCAGTCTTCTTCTGAATTCAAATTTGCAACCTTAGTGCTGCATCTGTGAAGTTTTTTGAGCTGATGGGTAGTTGCTAGCTGTGTACGTATGTATGATCATCTAGATTGTGTGGGCTTACAGGACAGAAGGCAACACGGCAGAAAGCAGAGTTTTAACTAGTAACACAGTGCAAGACATACGCTGTCTAGCTGTTACTTATTCACATTGATTTAGACATCTCTGTTTGCCTTTACTGAACATACTTCTCTTGTACCTGGCTTTGTCTTTCAGGGCTTCTAAAAGCTCAGCTTTGGTGAGAGTTTTTTTCTTTGTAAGCAAGCTTCAAACTGTATCCAGCATGGACACTTCTGGAGAGGATGACCTTGGCTGATGGTAGGTGCAGGATGCAGTGTAGTGAATTTGCCAGTACCCAAAGAAACATTCAGTTGTCACCAGGGAAGGAAGAGAGAGGAGAGGGAGAGGAAATGAGCTTGTCAGTATGTTTGATCTCAGTGCTGTCTTCTCACATTTTACCCTGAGATTCATGATCCTTGAGGTCCCTTCCAACCCTGGCAATTCTGTGATTCTGTTCCACAGATGTTCTCATGCTCTTTTTGGTGTCTGCTTTTGGGATGCAATGAGCGTCTTTCCTAGATGAAAAGATGTGTGTTGCTCTTCTAAGTTGTGCTTGCATACTTCTGCTCTAACTCCACACCCGGTCTCTGCTGTTTTATCTCCTGGGCGTCCCTTTCTGCGCTGGCTCTGGTGAGCTGTAATCTGAAAAGCGGCTGACCACAGACTTCACATTGATGATAAATAATGTTGTACCACATCAGCAAATTATTACATGGGTCTTGAGAAATAGTACATGAAAGTAGATTTAAAATAATAATAAAAAATCTAATTAAAAAGGCAGATGATTAGGCAGTGTGTTTTTGTCAGAGTGCTTACGGGAGGTGAATCCCCTGGAACAGGCTGCTCAGAAAGGCTGTGGATGCCCCGTCCCTGGAGGTGTTCAAGGCCAGATTGGATGGGGCCCTGGGCAGCCTGGTCTAGCATTAGGTGGGATGGTTGGTGGCCCTGCATGTGGCAGGGGGGTTGGAGATTCATGATCCTTGAGGTCCCTTCCAACCCTGGCAATTTTGTGATTCCCCTCTTGCTGTGACGGTCTGTGCTCCGGACAGCAGCAGCACGGAGGTGGGTTCGCCGGTCGCAGCGCGGACCAGCGGCGCTGCCGGGCGCCTCTCGGCGTCTGCCCCGGCAGTGGGGGGGTGGGGAGTACGAGTGCGGGCTCCTGCGGCCGCCTCTCGGAGCGGCGCTGGGCGGCCGCCGGCAGCCACGTGACAGCCCGGCGGGGATAATAAGCGGCCGCAATGAGCAGCGCTGGGCTTCTCCGGAGGGTCGGCCGCAAGGACCTGCAGCAGCAGCAGAGAGAGCGGGTGAGACAGAGGGAGAGCGAGAGAGGGAAGGAGGATCGCCAGCCATCCGCGACTACTTGACAGTTAAAGCCTCCGCTCTCAGCAGCTCATCAACATTAGCATCCTGTCTCCTTGGGAAAGAAAAAAGAAATACACACGTTGCTATCTTCAACCCATCAGCAACCATACTAAGCTTAAATATATATACATATTTAACTGCTAATAGGCAAAGCGATTGAAGCTGATCCCTGTGTAGAATGAACAGCATGAACCAGATAGAAACAAACATGCAGTACACCTACAACTACGAAGAAGATGAGTACATGACCCAAGAGGAAGAATGGGACAGGGACCTGCTCCTGGACCCAGCATGGGAGAAACAGCAAAGGAAGGTCTGGAAATAAAGTAATGTGTGTCTGTGTATGTGCTTCTTTGTGGAATTCTGGCCTCACTTGTAGCCATGCTGCATCTGGAGTTGCCGGTGCTATGCAGTAAGGTGTTCTTATTTTAGAAGAGGATGTAGGTATAAGGTACATATCATGCCGTATATTAAGGGAAAAGCACTCACTTTTTGTATTCTTAAGTGAAATCTATGTAAGATGATAGTAATTAATGAGAGTCAGAAGTGTGTTTTTATATTTTACTGAGAATGTTCTGTCAGTACCTCCATATTTGTGTATTGTTGATAGCGATTCCAGTGTTTTGTTTTGTGGTTTTTTTTTTAACTTCATAGGTCTTCCTTTTACAAAGTAGTTTCTGAAATGTTGTTTGTGCCTAATGGCTTCTCTAAAGCAGTACGTCGCAGTTATAACCTGAGCATGAAGTGGTTCAAAATTGTGCCGAAAACCCATCAAAATTTACATGCAGTATTTCTGAGTTTTATTAGAAGTTACTCTCAAGATGGATTGAATAATTTTAGGAAGATGTTGTTGTCTGGAAATATATTTAGCATAGGTTTGGAAAACTATTGAATGAGTTACATTCCCATATGCCATTCTGTGCCTGGGCGAAAAAGCAAGTCTGTAACTCCTTGGAATATGTTGTAGAAGAAACCCTTCTCACCTTCTAGGTTTAGGAAAGCAATTATGTCACCAAGTACTTCTTATACTGTTTCTGAACATAATCATGGGTTGTAAGCTCTTGTTTGTTCAAGAATTGTGTGAATGTAGCACTGAAGGACATTGTCAGTGGGCATCGTGGGGTGGGTTGGTGGTTGGACTGGATGATCCTACTGATCTTTTCCAACTGTAATGATTCTATGACTTCTTAGTAGTTGTAACCCTACCAACAATCTTGTTAGCAGTTTGGTACTTTAGTAATTGCTGCCCCTATGGTGCCTTTAAAATGTGAGAGAAGAAATATCTAATTTCAGAACACTGAGTTTTAAGCAGCCTATGAGAGAGAGGGATGAGAAATATTGTAAAGGATTTGTTACTTCCTAATGATGAAAGTGATGTTGAAATTACAGCTGACAGATCTAGGATTACAAGGTTATCTACTAGTTACTGGAAGGAAAAAAAGGAGAGAGGGGGAAAAGCATTAAACTATAGGGCTATATGCTTTTTGCTAAACTCCAGGAAGTTTGATTAGGATAATTTTTAGCCTGTGTCAAATCAAGAAAAAAGAGTTGCAAGGATTTTATCTGAAGTCAGAGTCTTACCCACTGTTATAGTCATGGCTTCTATATGACTGTCAAAGAAAGAGCTGTTAGAACTGCTAGGGCTGTTGTGTTTGCTTTTCCATAGTAATTGGTAGAGCTGATATTTTCCTCTTGTTTTCACTTGTAGCTTTCTGCTTACTGTGAGTTTTACATAATTTTGCTCATTTTCGTGCATTGATATCTGTATAGATCCTGTTGTACAAGTATAGTGTGAGAAGTTCAGCAGCTGCAACTCCTAACCAATTATTATACACCAACAGTGATGCTCATTTTAGTTTGATGTTCTTTATATGGTGAAGTATTCTTCTATGTTTTGCAGTGAGAATGACAGTGATTTAAGTGTTAATGATTAGAAACTGCTCAGCTGTGGTTACATCTGATGAAGATTCAATTGCCCAGCATTTCAAGAAGTCCTGTGTTTTCAAAAAAAAAAGAAATAATGGACTGGTTACTAGGCAATCATCACTCTAATGAAATTTTCCTAGAATACAAATAAGTAATAAAAAGGATTTGGGTTCTGTAGGCTTTCTTATTTTTGCAGTAAATCTCTTGACTATTACGGAAGAACAGAGAGTAGTTTATGAGGCACCATAGCAAGTTTTTTGTTTCCATTCTTCCAAACTAATAATGCTTCAGCAGAAAGTCTGGTTTCTACATTCACAGATGAAAGCTTACTTTCATAGGGTAGAGAGATAGTACCTTTGCTACATCAGGACTTGTTTTTAATATTTAAATGATATTGCATTAAAATAAAATTTAAGAGGGCGATCCTCATTCCTTGCATTGGAAAAGAGTCTGAATTTATTATGATAAGGAAGTAATTTCACGTAAAGGGTCTGAAACTTTTTACAATTTCAGGGCTTCTGTATTCTAAGTAGCACTAAGACAGTTGCAGAAAGTGCATTCTCACTTCCCTTATTTCTTAGGAAAAGATTACAGATACATGGGCACAAATCTTTGTTCAAACTGGTAATATAATATAGAAAAATGATCTCAGTGGAGCCCTGGCAGTTGGCAGCATATATTTTCTATTAGACAGTCTTGGAACAAACCAGAAATAAATACCATTGTTTCTATTGTGGGCTGCCCTCTCCAGACTTGCCATTTCAGTGATATGCCTGGTATGAGATCTGTCAACAGATGCTGGTAACACATGATGACGTCCATAGGATTACAATGGCCGTGACGCCTAATTATAACCATGGTTCATAGAGTATTATGGTCTGCTGTTATCCAGTCTCCTTGGTGGCTGCAGGTGTCGGAATAAATATAAAGTATGTTATATGAAGGGAGTCTCAGTAGTAGCTTAGCTGTGACTCTCTGGATATGAACACCAATTTATGTGCTTTGGTTAGGGTAATATTTAGCTTGTGTCAAATCAAAAAAGTACAGCAGTTTGATTGTTTGCTGTATTAGCTGCTACTAGTAGGAACTTAAACAGGATCATATAGTTGGAAACTTCAAATGGCAGCTTTAAACAAAGACAGAACAACAGGTCGGTTTGTCTTCATAATATTTGGGACAGACATACTGTCTTTAGCAGGAACTAGCGAACTGCAGCCTTGGTGTCTTTTAAACATGTAGAAGGAAATGATCAGACTAGAAACTTCTAAATTTTGCTGCTTTTCCCAGTACAGTTTTATTGACCATGTGTGCTTAAACAGCAGCTGAAAGATCTGTGACACTGGCCATTTGCTTCGTCAATACTGTGTAGAAATCAGAAAGCAGATTCTGGCTGACCAGAAAGACTGGAATACTCTTCTTGACTCTTTAACCTTAATCAGGGTCAGTTTACCTCCTTAGACTTCAGTTTTTCTGCTGGTTAAAAAAAGGACAAAAAAGTGATCATTTGTAACCAAATGATAGTTGTAGTTCATTTTATGGTATGTTAGAGTAGTCATTAGCCCTGTTTCAATCACAGCTATGCTGAACTGGAGTGGAATTAAAAATCATCCTCAATATTTTTTGAAGGAACATGGAAAAACTGCAATTCCTCTTAACTTAGGAAACCTAGGACAACTCTACTTAGAATGCAGATATGCTGTATTGTTCACAGCATGTTTGAACTCCCAAGATTGCTTAGTGAGCTGTGTGTTAAACAGTGCTTTTTCTTTTCCCTCTTCTCTTATTAATGCAAGAAAAAAAGTTATGATGGTACAGAGTACCATTGTATCACGGTATGCAAAAAGTAGGACAGGATTACAGAACAGAGACCAAATGGATGTTCTGACAGTGTTGAACTTAAGAGAATACCTGGCAAGTCTAAGAAAGGGAAGGGGTGTTTTTGAAGAACATCTAGAAACAACTGTAAACTCATACAGAAAAAACTTTCTTGACTTAGGAGGTTCCATGTAGACACCTGCAATGAAGTTTATACTTCTACTAAATGGAAACATCACTGTGCCCTAAGTAAAAGGCAGTCAAAATTTGATACATTTTATTTTTAGATAACTGTTATAAATAATTTATTATAGGACTGTACTTCTTTAAGCTTTGACATCAAATGTTTTTTTATTCATTTTTAAAAGAAGTTTTAAATCTTCAGGACAGAGAAAAGATCTGAAGGTTATGAACAGGTGTGATTCTGTCTTCAGGACAGTTGTATTGTAAAGGACTTAGCTGACTCCACATTGGTATCTCATATGTTTCCTCCAGATGTTTGTGCATGTCTCTGACACTGTTGCACTAATGTATGTAAAGAAAGAACTGAAAACACGTTCCTGGCCTTACTGATATTATTATAGAGCAGTGTTCACGTTCCAGCTTGCTTTATGGTCCTGATACCACCACCTTGTTGATGCAGAAGAGTTTTAATGTAGGTGTCAGCACCAAGAAGGCCAGTGGTATTGTGGAGTGCATTAGGAAAAGTGTTGCCAGCAGGTTGAGGGAGGTGATTGTCCCTCTCTTCCCAGCTCTGGTGAGGCCACATCTGCAGTGCTGTATCCAGTTTTGGGCTCCACAGCACAAAATGTATGCCAGTGGAGGGCTATGAAGATGATTAGGGGACTGGAGCATCTCCCTTAAGAGGGAAGGCTGAGATAGTTGGAGACAAAAAGACTGAGAGATGATCTTACCAGTGCATTCGAATGTCTTAAGTGTCAAGAGTATGGGACCATACTGCTCAGTGGAGCCCAGCAACAAGATAAGAAGCAGCAGGCATAAACTAAAACACAGAAAGTTCCACCTGAAAATGATGAAGAAACTTTTTTACTGTGAGTGACAGAGAGGTTCTGGAGTTTCCTTCTCTGGAGATATTCTAAGGCCATCTGGGTATGATCCTGTGCTATGTGATCTCAGATGACCCTGACTGAGGACAGGAGGCTGGACTGAATGATTTCCAACCTCAGCTATTCTGTGAGTGATGGTCTTTTGTGATGGAATAGAATAAAGAAGACTTGGAGTATTTATTTAGCTTGATATTGCACTCTGTGGATGCAGATTTTGATGACACTGAGTGCAGTGCATGAGTGATGACTTCAGGAAAGTTTCTCTAGGGTAGAAGTTGGCTTTCCAGTTAGATTACATTTTTAGCATGACCTATAAGGACTTATCTGCATTACCTTATTTCACTGATAGTACAGCTCCTGTTGTCCTTGCACGTCAAATGAATGAATAAATAAATAAAGCAACAACTGTAGCAAATTCTTTGGAAGGTGCTACCAGAACTGTGTATTATGGACAAAATGCTTCTTTTACTTGTCTTGGTGGAACTTAATAATGTTGAGCAGATTA